GATTTTACAGAATTTTATCCAGGTATTTTTAATTATTCCTGTATACTATTTAAAGCTTTAGAAAGCTAGTCAACTTTCCCCAGTTAGTCTTAATTACTAGTTAAAAGAGGAAAAACTGATTTTCCTTATCTCGCCTCATCAGCCTTTTGTATTTATTCATAATTTAGCCTTGAGAATTATAGGCAATGCATGCAAAATGTGAGGTGATTTATTAACCCTCTCAATACTCTCCCTCCTAGCATATAAGAACTAGATATGCATCACTTCTTTTCTTAATCATTCTCTAATCTCTTGACAACTTATACTGCATGATGATCTCTTCTATCTGGGCGTATAGCTTGTCTTGGCAGGAAGATTTCCTCAGGCTTTGACTGGTTACAAAGAACTCTGTAAAACTTGGCAAGATGCACTGATTTCAGCGTGTTTGCTTCTACATCGGAAGAGCTGAGTAGTCAGTATGGTAGACTTGAAGTGACTTTTGCAACAACTAGGCATAATCGTGTGTTCCTCTGCTTGGCTAGCACACAAGATGACTGAAGAGGTAAAGATATTTGTTTCTTTATAATTCGGGCTTATTGAACTTCCTTTTGTCCCTCAACGGCATTAGAGCTTGAGCCCAGGGGTCAAATAAAGTAGGGAGAAGCTTGCCACTAATCAGCTCTTTTTGGCCATTTCTACGGAGAGCAGTTCCTCTTTAGGCACATGAGGATCGTTCGCTGATAGCGATTTTAATAACCTTTAACTTTGGTTCTTAGTTTCTTTCATTCATTCATAAACGAAATTGGGTCTTATTTTACCTTTAAAATATATTCGTCATCTCGCCAGCTTTAAATACTGGAACTTTAACAAGGACTATCCTTTAGGTGTTTATGAATTCAACCTATTTGGTAGAATGATTACCCTTCTCTTAAATTGAAATTTTAATAAGTTTTCTGTACAAAAACTGCTTTTATCAGGTTAATTTTTATGAATTTTGTGAAGCAGAGTCACTCTGAAATGCGATTCATACAACCCTTTTATGGTCTTACAGAAGACGACCTCTGCTAGAGTTCATTATGTTGCTACACAGCTAGAATAATATTTATTTTTATTATTATATACACAATTACTGGTTAAAAATCTTTTTGTAAGATTTTACATTTATATCTTAACTTCATTGGACTAAAACTATCTGATCAGAAATAGGTTTTGGCGGCATCTAAAAAGCCTAGAGAAATTTATCATGCTTGTCAATTTATTACTCTTATAAAATTGATTACGAACCTTTAGCTTCGCTTTAAGCCAATGACTTGATGAGATTTTTCTTTTTCATAACTTTTCACGGAGCTCCTATTGGCTCTTTCTGTGGGCGTTATGGCTTTTGATTTCCCTGAAATTTCCTTTAAATCGCAACAAGGCATTCAGACTGTATTCATATTATGGTGACGTTAAGTCCTTTTTAGCTTGATTCTAACTATTACCACCAAGTTTTCAGTACACAAATAAAGAAATGCATATGCTCTAGCATCGGAGACTGAGGTTACATGAGTTAACAAATGGTCTTCCAAAGCTTCGAGCATATCCTGTAGATGAAATTGTCATCTTTGAGGTGTATGTGGGCTCGGTAAGCGTATTTCATTTTTGTCTCCTCTCACTATTCGACGGGAGCGCTCCTGGTTAGTTTGCCTGGGTATGTTTTTGTCGGTGTGTGTAGAAGCATGTTTTGGGGAGCTGAGCTGCTAGATGCTTTGTCGGCTAGCAGTCTGGTCAGTCAAAAATTCACAATTATTTTTTTAATTTTGAGTAGATTTTCAAGAATCCACTAGTAAATCAGATATATGAGACGTGCAGACTCTATTTCGTTTAAGGCGATAAAGGACTGCTAGTAAAATTTTCCCACAATGATATGAGTAGATTTTACGTTTTCATTAAAGGTGAGATTCACTGGAAGCGTATGATCTACTCCTATCATTGTGGCAAATTTCAACTACCAGTCCTTCATCACTTCAAACGAAATAGAGTGAGTACTCACTAAAGATGGGTAAAGGCACTCGAATAACTTTGGTTGTGCTGAAACACGCAAACAATAAGAATATGATGTCTCTACTTTTTATGTGCAAGGAAAGGTTGGCTGGCTGTCCTTACCGGAAACCGAAGGATGATTGCCTTGGAGGGAAGACTGTCGAATCGTATTAAAAAGTAATCGGCTCTCCGTCCTCTGAATTCCGCCCATCCGCTTTGAGCCTTTCTTTTCATATAATAAACATTGCCAAAGTAAGCAACAATTGCTTATGAAAAAAAGCTGCACTAATATTTACAAACCCTTACTATTGCCTTAGTGGATTTGTGGGTTTTTTCGTAAACTATAGTTTGTTACTTCGATGATTAGTGTTTCGGTGATACATAAGAAAGCTCTTTAGGGATAAGTTGGAGTCGCAGTACGGTCATCTCAAAAGCAATCCTACTTAGCTCATTGTAAAGGCGATTCACTAATCCTCCTCAACTAACATTTTTTCGTGAATGAAAATGGCTTTACATTAAATTATCGAGAGATTTCTCGAAAATCGGCTTTTTTATGCTTATATAAAAATAATCCGGCTCATTTTGCCGATATAAAAAAATTTTCCACGACGTCCCAAGTTGAAGAAATAAACAATGAAATAGAGTACTTTTTGGTTTTTATTGCAATTCCTAGGATCGGGGGCCGCCGGAAACTCTAAATGCCCGCTCATCATATGGGAAACGAACTCTCGGACAGACTTGGATTTGGTCGGCAAAATATTTCTGAATTAGCTGAATCCAATTTGCCTGTCCGTTTATTTGGCATAAACGAGACAAGGTTCCACTATAGTATAGGTACAGGTTGCTTCTCTTTGACGTTTCAGTCTCATTAGCCACTAGATAATTAAGTGGACTTTCGATGCCTCCCTCTGAACCACAATATTTTGCTCTAATTGATCATATGATTCAATTTGAGAAAAGGACCCAAATCTAGGAGTGACAGTGCCTTTGATGACCTCGTTACGCCAGTAATTGTGATTAGTTAGCAAATATTTTGTACTGCCAGTACTAAAGTTGTATACTTTGATTTTTCAGTCGGTTTTACAATTTTCTCTTTCTGACATATTGCATTTTTACACGGTCGCGGCGTTTTACATGTCAGTAAAATACTAAAATTCTCCTTCCTCGTATTCTCGTTTGGACGCACATGAACTTTAGGTTAACCGGGTTGTTGTTCGACAACCACTTTGTAGGTTAAATTTACTTATAGCAGTTGTTTGACCTTGTTTTTCCAACTTGGTCATATTGGTAGGAAGACTTAGAGAAACGCATCTAGTCCGTAGTCCATTGTAGGTATGATCATTTTCATAGTAGGACCGTTACGTGGTGCATTCCCAGACGTTTCACCTGAATCTTAGTCGGCATCGTCAGTGAGTCTTGCCATTCTTGGCACCACACCACAACTCATGAAAGAGACAAGTGAAGCCGAACCTTTGACCAAATATGTGCTAGACAGTTGTGGTATCTCCCCTTCCGCTCTGGGCTATTCACAAATCCTATATCCTCGTATCACACCTTGACTATCACATTTTATACTTGCTTATTTGAATGTGGTATGGTGTGCGCCCTTTTGAGCGGATTTCATGGGAACTCTCCACACTCCACTCCTTCACCCTTGTGCTGGAAATGCTGATTAGACTCTGCACTATTGTTGCGTAGTCCTTCCCTCTTTTCACTCTTTCTCTAATCCTATCCCACAGCCGCAAACAGTTTCCACTTGACTTCCCACACTCCTTCCTTCTCTTGACAATGTTGGTTCTTTTGTTGATTTCTTTAGATTCCCTAATTTGGCATAGTCCCCACATCCAGCTAAGCGTTTGGCATTAGACCCATCTGTCTGGTGTCCTGTGCGAGCCACATGTTCGGCCAATTCCGACCTTTGCAGGCTGTTTTGTGTTCAGATAACCTCTTATGTGTAGGCCTACAGGTCTCTACACATATACACTACTACATGAATACGAAATTTGGTAATAGGCCGATCTGGTGAGCGGGTCAGATTATTCTCGATAAGAAGGCAAAACCGAGGAAAGTGTTGTTTTCGCTTTATAAATGGACCTGATCTCCCACCTCCTCAGCGATTCGCCTATCTTCTCCGACAGATAGCACTATGGCAGCATAATGACTCTGTTAGAGTGGTCTATTTTTTTGTCTAACTCCAAATATGCATTTACCTCCATCCTATTTGGCAATATTCTAAAATAATTGTCAACCAGCCCTCTTGGATAATTATTCTCAACAGGAATTGTCCATAGTCTTCTCAATTTCTGGTCCCGATGCTTAACTCCATAAATGTGGTTGGACATGCAATTCCATAGAAAAACTGCATTTATGCGTTTCCCATACACATGTCTGCCTAATCTAATCCCCTCTGCTAACTAGGCATCAAGTAAGGGTAAACCACCTTCGTTTTCCAACTCGATGCTGAATTTCATCTTCCCATAGATCCAGTTCATCACACCAATAAAATTCTCCAGGTTTTCTTTGCAATGTTGCCATATAGCGAACTAATAATCTGGGGACTGAAAGTGCCTCTTGGATTAAGCGTTCCTCGAATTGAGCCTTGCAATTATTTGGTAACGTGGGATAGCTTATAGTCTCAATTTTCACTTGCCCACTGTCATTCAACACAGTTTTTTTAGTGAGATAAATATTTATTTATTTATTTGATCTTTCTACTTTTCTGGACTTTTGAGTTCGTCCACTAAGGGGCTTTAGAACTGGCAACACAAAAATCTGATTGCATTCTTGATTCTTCCAGTGTATCCCTTTTTATGGCATTATTACATCAAGGCTTTATATACTTTATACATTTATATTTACTATTTTATCTACATTCTCGTTCCCTCCTTGAATGTCGCTTCTTTGTATTTGCCCATACACATTGTTGGTGCTCTATCATTTTGGCTTTGGGTCCAAGTCCAAACGTAGTATCCGCATATTTTTATACGCCTCCACCCTTTCTACACTCGCATCAGCCATCTTCGACTCCGGGTGAATTGCCCAAGCAGGTGGGCAACAAGACGGAGTGCTCTCTGCTCGGATTCGTCACTGCGGTTGGCCGCGACCCCGAGGCACTGCGGGCTGAGTGGACCGAGGATCGGCTCTACAAAGTCTACACCTTCAACTCGGTTCGTAAGTCCATGAGCACGGTCATCCACTTGCCTTCTGCCAGCGGCACTGGCCTCGGTACCTTCCTCCTCTTCACCAAAGGCGCTTCCGAGATCGTGACCAGCCGGTGAGCAATGTTCAGGCCTTCTGACCAATGTTGCTTGCTCCATTGGTTCTCCCATTATCACCAATTCATGCCACTCTTTCTCTTCCTTTCACAACACCCCAACCTGTTGGCCTCTCGTTTCGTTTCTGTTTGCCAAATTACCCGAACTGGAAAGCAATGGTGGTCGGATTTCGTCTATTCTCACTTACTGAAAATATGCCCGTCCGATTGATGTCTTTAATTGTTGCTGACATTTCATTATCCATTTACTTTTTTGACTGTTTTAACTCCATTTGAGTACTTCCTTTCCCCACAAAGGAGTCGATATGCAAATTCAGGGGTATGAGTTTAGTTTAGCCGTGCTTGTCAGGTGTCACACAAAATCCTATTGAGCAAAAATGTCCATATGCATATTTATTGCTTGCGTCCTCCAGTAAGCGCCTTTTAATGTTTAACACGCGATCGCATAGCAACGTGGGCTTAGATATACTTTTCAACTCTCCCGGGTGTCCTCATCGGTTGTATTCATTAAAATATCCGTTTGTAAAGGACTCACCTCTCTCTCTCGCTTCCGTTCTCTCTCTCGCGCTTCCGTTCTCTCTCTCTCACTGGCTAATTAGATCCCTCTTTTTTGGAGACTCTCTTGCTGCTTGGCCAAAGTAATAGGCTCATTAGGCTCACTTCAACTGCTTCCGCTACTTCTAAACTGTAGCGTAGAGAAGCAGGATTCCTCTCCCAGTCGTATCCGGAGTTTTCGCTTCCTCTCGACCAGGCAAAAAATCAATCGGTCTAGTCAAATTTAGCCAGAGAAACGGATAACTTTTAGATATTTCGTCTTATTTCTCGGCTTTAAGCATAATGTGCTTATGGTTGGTGATTTGGAAGCTGGTCGGTGGTTCCAGGACGAGATTTACCTCTAGCAAAGAAGGTTTTTCTCTAAAACAAGATACAAAGAGAGTATTTGAACCTTTTGTAGCCGCCAAGAGGGACTATTTATATAAAGCATTTACCTCCCTAGTTTTAATATAAAATTAAAAAAAAATTCCTCAAAAATTTTTTATTACATGCTGTCCAATTATACCTCACCTATAACTCGACTCCAGAACTTTGAGCATCACAAGCAGATATATATTTAGACGCATGCCCGGATCTTCTGGGACGGATGTTATTCGTGTCGAGCAGAAGACTAGAATTATTCTATTGCCTTGAATAGCCTCTAACCATTCATAGTTAGACGATATGGCTGAACGAGCCCACACTTTTCGCATACACAGCGCATAAGTCCTGGAGTTTCAATATCATTATTCGCCCTTTTCTTATGATCCTGAACCCATAAAATGCCTTAAGGATCTTTCTCAGATTACTGGATGTTGACGTTCCTCTTAAAAGCTTATTAAATTCCTCTTTGCCGTGCTATTTCCTCTCATCTAGCCGAGAAACTCAATTGCCTTTGTAGGAATTTTGATTTTCCGGATCCTTTTCATGTTTGCATTAAAGTCAAATGTATTCCTTTTTTGTCTTTATGTTTAAGGGTAAAAGGCGTAAGGGTAAAAGGTTAAAGCCATATTTTATCAATTTAGTAAACATCTTAAAAAGACACGTGTGAAGAGGAATTTTTTTCAAGCCTTGCGATGCTGCCAGAGCTTACTAGTCACTACACATTTGAGCAATAATTGTCTATGCAGTTCATCTAATTTTTAGCGCTATTTAGGTGAATTGTAAAGAGCAATTAGCTTTTTTGCGTCATGAATTTATTTAAAATTTCAATAGGTGTTGAAAAACAGTAAATGAGGCACAACGAATACGTTAATTATTTATTGAGTAACTCAATTATTAAATCAACTAATCAGTTACTTAACTATCAAGATGTCTTTAAATTCCATTCACCTTTCTGCTGATGGTTTCGATATGATCCAGCTTTCTCTGACGCATTAGTAATAGATTTGGTCTCTTTTCGCATGTACAACTCTATTTGCATTCAGAGCTTACATCCTCCGCATATAACCACCTCCATTAGGCCCATCTTGACTAGCCATTTTTTCCAGGTCTGACTGTAGATCTGGCGTTAGACTGGCGGATCCAGATATCGCTATATCTCTTCATTTCCGGAACTTCCGTTTTGTATTCTTTTTTCTTTGATGATAGTGACAATAATCGGGATTAAGTCCCAAGTTCTCGCCAGACTTGGGGTTAAAATTGTTCGTCTTCTCTCGTTATGGTCGATTGCAAGACTTATCCATTATTTCGTAATTTTTGCAGTGCTTCAACTGCAATCTTAAGTAACACTGAAATAGATCACTTTGCAATCAAAGAGACATTTGTAATCGGCTTATTGTTGTTGGTATGTTTTCTTGTGTCCTCTTGAATCTTTCTTATTTTTCTTTAATTTGTACTTATGTCCTGTGTCCTCACAACTATTGACTGTCATAGCGACTAAGAGCCTAAAATAGGCCCACGGCCTGCTACCAAGTGTTTCATGGCTTTGTGCTATTATGCACCTTAAAATCAATTGCTGAATAAACGGTTTTCTCTTCCCGGAGTTACAAAGGTAGCACTTATCTTTGGGAGGTTTAGAAGTGAAACATGTTATACACATTTTCGCCACCGCTCTTTAGAAGTTGGTTAGTGCACTTCTTGATTAATCTCTCGAAAATGACTTGGAAGTAAATGAGAGATTAAGAATAACCTATTAATTCGTTTCCTCTGCCCCAGCCAATCCATCATACTGAAAGTTATAAGTGAATCATTAAAGGACAAATTAATTTCTATTTTCTGCTATGCTAAGCATGCCTTAATAGGAATTTCCTCATCACGCAGGGTTATATTATAATATGAAAATGATCTTGTTTCTGTGTCATGAAAACTTCAATGTTTCCAACTTATCACTCAGACGAAAGTTATTTACTTTAGTCCATCTCAATTTGATGCATAGTCTACCAAAAGTCAATCGACATGCTCTACCAACTCGCCACGACCTCACGCAATCCATGAACACTATTTTGAATTAGTCTTAGACGAGTTAAGAAAGATTTTGTCAACGGCCGTTTCATTTACGCTGCACTAATTATGCACCTGTCTGTTAAGGATAAGTAGAGCCTCGTGCTCAGTTTCCATTTGATAAAACACTTCGCATTAGGCTGCATTAAATCGAAAGCTTTCAGCTCAACGCTGGTTGAGGTACATCAGACATTTACCATTATTTTACTAAAAAAAATATCTCACTTTTTTTCAACCACTGTATATGTCAAAAATGCAGATAGGATTGGAATGGCAAGCCAACTGAGCACTTTACCCGCTACTCTGTTTAAGTCTAATATTGTGTCATGCAATAACACACTGGGTTTATATTCTTGTCAGATGTGTGGCATTCTGTAGTAATGAGTATGCTGCAAAGAGAAAATACTTGCCCGACTTTCTGCCACCCCATTATCTCTTCCACTCCTGCCGGTGAATCCATCCTCACCTTTCGTAACCAGTCGGCTTCACTTCTTTACTGGATACAAAAATGACTCATTCCATATCGTAGCTATGAAGGCTAAGATGGCGTTGCGTGTGGATTGGTTTCGGTTTCCATTCTCTTTACAGGGTTGGCTTGACCACGTTTCCGTAGGTTTCTCTTTAAGGTCACTTGGACAGCGTAACTAAGTTGTGAAAACGAGCTCAAACTAACCATATTTATATAAGTGTGAATCAGGATAACCACCATGGCAGAGGACTTCGGACAAGGTGCGTTCTATTAAGTCCTCCTGACAACAAGACCAAGTTGTGGAAACGGGATCAACCCACTTTTAGAAATGGAAAGGAGACTGTGACTATACAGAGGATCACATAATCTTGGTCTTCATATCTGGGATTAAACTACGGCAATAATATTGCCAGATAAAGCACTGAATACAGCCGAACAAAGAGGGCAATTGTAAGTCAATCTTGTCATCTGACCTTTTTAAACTTTTCTAAACGTTATCGTATCACTCCTAAGTTCTATGACCTTAAGAGACCCTACCAATTTGATAAAGCTAATGAGTTTCTCCACCAGGCTTCTATTTAGAAACTGAGTGAAACTTATGATATGGAGAGGAATAAACTATTTAATTGAAGATATGAAGACCAAGATGTTGTGGCCTCTGGTATGGTCGCAGTCTCCTTTCGATTAATATAAATGGGTTGTCCTCGTTGTCGATAGGTGTTACCAAGTTGACGAGTTCGTAGCTTGGTGCGGAGAATGGCAAAACTCACTGATCATGCCGGCGAAACGTGTGAAAATGTGCCAACTCAACTGTCTGATGCTGGGAATCATGACAACTACTACACTATTTAAATTTATATATTTTAAGTCAATGCTCCGACGTGATCTGACCAGGATGCTGACTCCGGAAGACTTCCAATGAATCCAGAGCATGACCAACAGAAAATGACGTAGGATTTCTGGCTTAATAACAAAACGGCATGACGACAAATTGCGTAAGTTTGGGATTATAAGACAGCCTAAGTTAAAGCCATTACGCCCAGTTAAAGTGGTTTTTGAGGTGACAGCACCTACTCATTGGCACGGCGATCGGAAGAAAGTAGTAAATTTATCAAAATTTCCTCTTAACCACGAAACAATCACGATCCTGGAAAAAGGACTCACATTTCCACTTCAAAATGTCATAAACCTTCTAGGAGCCATCCTGGTGGAGGTTATCAAAATCGCCGACAAGTTTCCTGAGAAGAAAAAAACGGAAAATGGAGATGGAACTAGTTCCAATGATCTTGACATATCAAGAACCAACACACAGGAACAGATTTGCCAGGATAAGCAAGACCATGAAACCGAATAAACAATTAATCCTTCAGGCGGATAAAGGAGGAGCGACAGTGATAATGGACAAAAAACAATATACCGAGAAAAGCTAATATATTCTACCAGACAAGAGTACATATCTTAAACTAAAGAAGAGCCCAACTATGAAGATCACTGGCATAAGAAGGGGAAATTGTCACATGGACAAGAAATTCAATCATAAAAAAGTATGCATGACCACCAACAGCCTTCGAATTACGAAAGGATACGCAAAGAAGGCAAATCATTAAGGCTGATTATTAACAACAAGTGTGGAGCAACACACAAATAGGAACAGTTAGTATGTTTGAAGCTCAATAAATTAGATGACAGGCTATCAAACATTCGTATGAATTTTCTCAAAAAATCAAGAACATGACGCTTGAATAAACAGACTTATTGGTAAGTTTTGATGTGGATTCCATGTATACACACATCTCTGCTGTGTGCCCTGCTGGAAATGCTGGACCGAGAGGAGGACATTATGGAATCACAACGGATCGGCAGGGAGTCGTTGACAAGACTAATCAACTTGACAATAAGGACAACCTATTTTACATTCATCGGGAACTTCTATGAACAAATATTTGGACTTCCCATGGGATCGCCACTCTCACCACTTTTGGCCAGCGTATACATGAACAAAATAGAAGAGAGCTTTAAGACGGCACCGCTACAACCGGCAGTGTTCATGCAGTACTGGATGATTACTTCGCACTTTGGTCGCATTGAAGAGAAAAAGTGGAAGAGTTTTTTCTAAGTTTGCAAACCAGATTGATGGAAAAATTCAATTCACGATGAAAGTAGAGTAAGGTGAACGGCTACCTTTTCTAGATGCTGAAGTGATTCGCTTTAATGCGACGCTCAAGAAGAAATTGTTCACAAAGAAAGAAGTCTTATGCCGGGATGATACTCACTTTTCAGTCCCATCACAAGTACAGACTAAAGATAGGAATAATGAGGAACATGATTATCCAAAGCCGACGTTTAAAGGCTGTGGAATTGTGGGATGAAGAACTGGACAACTTGACGAGGATATTGCTCGGCAACGGCTACCAAGGCGAAGTAATACAAAAAAGCATACGGGCCGTTAAAAGCCGATGGCAGAAAGGGGACTATGAAAGGACAGTAAGAACGGAGAAGGAATCACAAAAGTGGATATGTTTGCCTTTCTGCGAACTAACTCAAAAACTACGGCCAATGTTGACGAAATGGAATATTCGGGTGGCTATGATAGAGAAATCAACACTTTTCACAAGTCTACCGACGCAACATGAAAGGCTAGACAAACCGGATTGTTCAGGCGTTTGCTACACAGTATGCGGTGCCTTCGAACGGAAATATATTGGCGAGATAGGGAGAAATATTAGCATACGGATCGAGGCACATCAAAGACCCTGCAGGAAAATGGATGCCATACGATCAGGATTAGCGAAACACATCGCAAGGACTGGACACGAGATAAATTGGAGGCCAACAGAAAGAAGGGCCTCACACGGTGACAACGCAAGGAAGCGGAAGATTAGGAAGGTCATTGACATGCTTGGGAGGACAAATCTAACGAACAAGAGATTGGAGGAAGGTAGAGTTAGCGATCACTTTGCCTACTGCTTAGGCAATCAAGAATACGGCGAAACCAGCAAAAAGGAGACGCTCAGATCAAGGATCTATCGCTAACCGGAGGAAAATTCGGCAATCAAGCGAAGATGTTACCAGTGAGCGATGTCTTTTCCAAGTAAACCAGTACAGATTTGGCGGTCTGGTAGTCAGGCGACTAGACAGACAGATAAGCACAAAAGTCACAAAAATTCGGCATTATGGCACAAATGTAGTAGAAATCTACTTGAGATGCCGCATGCGACCAAAGATAGGCGTTCACAGTTTGCTCACATGACATGGGTTTAATCAAGGAGATGACCCGTGAAGTCATCGCCTGACATCTACGAGCATGGCAACAGAGCCTAGGCGCTCTGCTCGGCTCTAGGGCCTTGACAAAAAGCGCCTGGAGTGAAAAACACACTGGGACTGGAACCGAGTGAAGTCAGTCAACCAGAAAGAGAAGGAACGGATCTACAGGAACATGAGGGAGATACGGATAGGAGGCTCAAGTCGGATTAGCCAATCGAAAGAGAGTGATGAGGTCACACTAAATTTGGCAAAAAAGGACACACATTTTGACGAGTGAGAAGTTGTGATAGGATGGGAGTTGGATAAATGGGTAAATAGTAGATAGATGGGCCAAAACAGAAAGAGGAGTGATAGTGTGACAGTTTTCCATAGAACGTTGGTCGAGGGATTGACTTCACTTGTCTCTTTAACGAGTTCGTAGGTTGGAGCCGACTACGATGCCGACGAAACGTTTGAGAATGTACCAAGTCCACTGTCAGATGCCTGGAATCATGACAACTACTATGACAGAGAACTTCGGGCAAGGTGCGTTGTACTACGTTGCCCTGACAACAAAACCAGGTTGCGAAAATGCTATCAACCCACTTACATAAATCAAAAAGAGACTACAAAAAAACCGAGGGCCACATCATCTTGGTCTTCATATCTTCGATTTAACAATATTTAATTTAAAGGTTTGATGACCAAGATGGTATGGTCTTTTGTGTGGTCGTAGTCTCCTTTCGTCGTATAAAAAGTTATTTGACCTTGTTTTCGACTTAGAGGAACGCACCTAGTTCGGAGTCCATTGTATGCATGATCATTTCCAGAGTAGGACTGTGGACGTGGTACATTTCCAGACGTTTTGCCGGAATCGTACTCGGCATCATCAGTGATTCTCGCCATTCTCACCACCATATTGCAGCTCGTCATAGAGACAAGTGAAGCTGCAGACGAATTCTACGCGGCAAGAGGGAGACTGATAGGACCCAGGCAAGGACTACGCAACGATATGACAGACTCTGATCAACATTCCCAGCACATGGTTGAAGGGGGTGATACCGACAGTGTGGAGTGTGAAGGGCTTTCATGAATGCAGCTCGAAGAAGCACATCACACTACATTAAAAATAAGCATGGCACAAATTGTGACAGTGAAGGTGTGATAGGAGGATATAGGACATGTGAATAGGCCAGGGCAGAAGGGGAAATAGCACAATTGTTTAACACACGTTTGGTCAAAGTATCGGTTTCACTTGTCTCTTTGACGAGTTGTTGAATGGCGAGACTGACTAACGATGCCGGCGAAACGTCTGGGAATGTACCACGTCCACGGTCCGACTTTGGAAATGGTGATGCATACAATGGAATCCGGACTAGGTGTGTTCATCTAAGTCTTCCTGCCAATATGACCAAGTTGTGAAAACAAGGTCAAACAACTTCAATATTTTATTTAATTTGAACTTTAGCGACCCAACCGAACTGTTATCCCTCACTTTGGCGTATTATTTGGTTTTCAATTTGACCGTTATTCTCAAACCTGTGAATTCGGCATCATATGCTTCTTTCTCTCGAAGTGTCGCCGGACAACTAGGACCACGACTGTATTCTTCCTTGATTCATAACAAATGTAAGCATCGCATAATCACAGTTTTCATAGGACTGCATCTCTCGCAAAAAAGAGGTCCTCTTCACTCACTATCCACAATCTGGTTCGGTTAACTGTGTTTCCTACACCAAGCATAGCATGCATAGTTTAAAGTATACAATGAAGAGAGCTTTTAATTGAATTTGATGTTTTCCGGGAGACGTCTCCGAGCGCCAGACCCAGGCCACCTCTTCGTGTACTTGCTCGCGGAGCTTCTCTACATTTGGCCCCTCAAAAATCAGGAGGCCGACACTACAAATTTGTGCCCCAACTGCGCTAGCGAGCTCCTATTTTAGCAGCATTTATGAACCTTACTCCACCAGATCCTCCCTCTCTTTGTTCCTTCTATTCACAAAGTTGGTTGAATTTGACGCCATTTCCTTTAAGGTGATGAAGGACTGATGGTTCAGGTTTTCTACAATCATATAATTAGGCCTCATCTTTTCATTGACTTTCACATAGCCTTGCTTTCCCAAAAAGTAGTCTCATCCGGACATGAGTGGACTGCAGTTTTCACCCCGCCTAGTCTGATTGCTATGACAAATATACCTTTATATGAGATGTATTCACCATATTTCGTTTAAAGTGATGAAAGACTGGCAGTAGCATTTTCACACAAGAGCTGACGTTTCCATTGAATTTCACATATCTTTGCTTTACCAAAAGTTGTTCTCATCCAGGCACCAGTTGACTGCAGTTTCGATTTCGCATAGGTCCAATCAACACCTGCTGGTAGTCTCGAAACTCTACTTATATACGAATATTAAGTAATGTAGTCGATTGTTGTAGCAAAAATACGTTTGCTTCATCGACAATCCCACCAAAGAATGTGATATGGGAAGAGGTCTGGTCTTCCTTCAAATTCACATCTGCCATGTGAATGTGAAATTTAACAAAAACGTCAGCTCTACTCATATGATTGTGGAAAAATTCTACTACCAGTCCTTCATCACCTTAAACGAAACAGGGTGAATACATCTCATATAACAGGTTTTATTGGTTCTCGCGAAGCTCTACTTACATACGAAAAATGTACCTTTGTTCCGTCGATAATCCCACCACACAATAGCGATATGGGAATATGCCTGGATCTTCTTGACAGTCACATCGGTCCAGTGACCCAAGGGCACTCGTGGCAGTCTGGCATAGCGCTTAACTTGGCAAACTTGTACATTGCATTATCACAAGCCGGGTTCGAGTACCGCTGGGGGTGCTGATGAGACTTGAGCTGGATCGAAGCTAAAGTCCACTCCTGTCTGGATGAAAATACATTTTTGAGAAGCAAAACTGCATGACATTGAATGGGAACATGAAGCCTACTCATGTCATTGTGATACAATTCAACCACCAGTTCCTACATCTACTGGCGGTCTTGGGAGCCTATTCAAGATATGATAAACAGAACCATTTTGTCATGTGATTTACGTAGATTTCTTGCCCGTAAACCTGTTCAAGCGGTCTCATCTCCAGGTCTCTCTTTTCGTACACCTTACCGCATGAGTTTCATACCTCAAGGCAAACAGATCAGAATAGAGGTTCGGAAAATTCTCGAAAATATGCCAAATTTCCTTACCTTCCTTTCTTCAAATGCCGACAAAATGGCAACCTCAGGAGCCAAATAGAATTGTTCAACATTATTTTCTTCGGGTAAACTGCTATATTTTGGAATAGCCATTAAATGACCACAGTTATTAGCCTTACATCGAATTGCTGTCTCCTTTTATCCTCCGAGATGGACCGCAATTTCGGCCCAATATTCCCTCGGAATCAGCTAAGCAGACATGCTATCATGCCCCAAGAGATATCGGAAGGAGAAAAAAGACTCGGAAAAGGTGCAATCTCTAAGCCTTCTCAAGTGGCTACCGAATAAGTGTTCAAGATACTCTGAAAATCCAGAAACGTTTCTCCTTTCTGTCATGAGAGCTACGGTGCTATGCATATAACTTAGACCCCACTTCACCTCGACAATGAGAACTTACCATTCACATTTGGTTCGCTAGTTCATTAGGCTTCCCACTTTCTTCTATTCTGCCCTACTTCAGCTGCTTCTGTCTGGCTTCCGGCAAACTAGTGACTAAATAGGCTGGTGAAAATATCTAAAAAAACTCGTATATCCTGCTTTGACCTTCACACTTTGTCAGAGGAAATTTATTATCTTGGCATTTTGTTAGTTTTGGACATCACGTTTTCGCGATCACATTTTCACATTTTTTATGCAACCCTTTTGGGAATGTTCTTCTCTAGAATGACTTGTTGGAAGGGAAAGATGACTCTTATGACATTCTGGTTAATGCAGTTCTCGAAGCCTGTGTCTAACGACAGACGATCGACATCTTTGCTTCATGCTTTCCTTTCTGTCTCTGTGAAATTCATAACCAGCATATATTCTAGTGATTCTCTCGAATGTTTCGAATGTTCCATAAAGAAATATTTGCTATCGACATACTTACAAGGCTAGCTGTCCTCGTAAGATGTCTTTTATTGACGAAATGTTGATAACGCCGGCATTTGTCTGTCTGCTTTTTACATTCCTTTCTCCAGTCAGGCTGAAAGGACCATTTGTTAACGCTTTTCCTGCTGGAATCATTTGAACCACTCTTTAAGATCCACCACACCTTCTCACGACACCAGGCAAGTCCTCTCAGTCTTTTGAGCCTCTTACGGGAGGCGAAAAGTAAAAACTCTTCAATTGCCCGGTTAAGTGCACTTTATGCCTTTCCGAAGAGCCTTTGCTTTGTGGAGACAATCAAGTTCATATCTTGCCCAACTCTGTATTTTAATTTTCAGAGTAAGGATCAGATAGTGGCCTTAGTGTCGCGGATAACCAATTTCTCAGTCGACTATTTACTGCTGACACTCACGTTGAGACCAGCTTTTCTTCACTACCAAATAGAAGAGGGTTTGTTTTTGCATCTAGCTTTCCTTTATTAATTCGCCTTCAGAAAATCAGCTATCAGCTATCACCTCTTTTTATCATTGCCGCTGTATGCAAAAGATGCATTAACAACAACAATACTGCACGATAATACTATTTCGTCTGAAAATTATTTTACGCACTATCCAGTCTAGCTGTCACCATTACACAAATATCGCATAGCAATAGTCTTTATTTTTGTCTCATTATTTGCGTATCCATCGGTAAATATTTCTTTTGCTCATTTCCAATATATTTCTCCTCCTCCTGAGAATGGAGCTTGTAATTGATGAATTTTATCATTTGTTAGTGTTAGTTTCATAATGCCATTTAATCCATCATCAACATTCTCAACTTCTCAACAAGCAGTAGCATTAATGGCGTCGCATTAGTCACTCGCGATTTCACTGCGTAATAATTAAAGGGATTTCTGTTGAAACTTGAACTTAAGCATGACTTGATGCTTAGCAGAATCCAGGCTGCTGGAGATGTATGGTTTTTGTACTGGTTTAAGTGGATTTCTTAAATTGCAGCAGGACGCCATTGGTTAGATGGTGTTTTTTAGACACTGGTGGCTCGTCTGCTTACAATTAATTGAATAAAAGTCTTACGTTTTTTTTCACAACACTTTGCTGCTGCTTCATATGCCCCAGAAGTGGGACAGCAGTTCTCGCGTTTGTGTCTGTCCAAGTGAGACAATGCTGTCAAGGCAAGACGGGTCTATCGCATCTCTGCTCTGTGATTGAGGCAAATCAAGCCGTCGAATCTGCGTTCCCCATTTGACTGGGTTCTTTTATAAGTTAAAAACATCATGTTGCCTTGACGACAGGGAAGAGCTGAAGTTCAAGTCGTTCAAGTATGCTTGCTTGCTGTAGTTCAAGCGAAGACATTGCATTCTGAAGAAAAACTGGGTGATGTCGCCTGACCGGAAACCGAAGGAGGATTGCCGCGTAGAGAAGACTGTCGAATTGTGCGAAAAAGTCCTGCCACCCGATGAAACTGTACTAACCTTTCGACTGTACCGTGACAGACAGCATTATAGCAGGTATTCACACCTCACGAAAGAGAGCAAACGTATGCCAAACCAAAAAAAAGGAATCGTGAAGTATGGATACATGCTGTGATGATGCCTGTCATAGTACAGGCGACGGTTTAGCACAACTTAATCGCAGTCGCAGGACGGTTTCTCCGCATTATTCAACAGTCCTCACGAATTCCTTCCAACCAACTTTCCCATCGAAATGAAGAGTCGTACCACAGCACTTCATTCTACCCCATCCCACCTCTGGGCGTCCGCCAGCCTGACCAAATTGTTGTTTATCACACTCTCATGGCAGGCGAGTTTACACCCTTTTTTCAAGCTGTCATGTGGGTACTTTTGGCTCTGCAGCATCGGTTTCATGCAAGAGAATCAGCCCACTTACTCGTGCATAGCCTCAGAGACCGACTCTTGAGTGGAAAGAGTTTGTAAATGGTGTCTTTTCTGCTTTGGCGCCTAATCACACATACACACACACACACACACACGCCCATAGTTGTAGTCGCAGTTCACCTTCACATTGTGCACTGGCTTACCACATGAACGAGGACTCACTTTCTAATTGTCCTCTCGGCCGAGGCAGCCGTCAAGCTGTACGTGTTTGTCTGTCTCAGTTGCTGGTGCCTCTTTATTTATTAATCAGTCAGCCATGTTCATTATACTTATCCATTTCAATGAAATAATTAGTGTAATTGGAGGGCTTTTCCTCTTCACTCGGCTCCATTCATCTGTTGTCCTCGCGTAATTCGCCAACTTCCGCGCCCCACCAGACGCCCCACTCCTACAATGCACTGCGGTCTGCCTTGCTTTGTGTCGTTTCCTCCACTTTCACATCTTCTTTCCTTTTTTTCCCCATTGACCTCGCGCAAAGTTATATTTCCACTCACACTCTCCGCCTGTGGGCGAGTTAATTTGTCCCGACCGGCGTTCTGCCTTCCGCTGATCCACTTTCTCGTCTCTTCGACCTTTCTGCTTGGCTTTTTCTCCTCTGCTGCGTTTGCGCAACCACTCAGGCGTGTCTAGTTCAGGAGGCTCTATTTGCTCGGTTTGTCAGACGCGACACCGGCCCCTGCTGTCACACTCGGAGGGTAGTGGTTCGCTTCGGGCATTGCTCTTTCAGGCGTCTTCATATCCCATCCGACCATCCGTTTCTGCCCATTTTAACGCTCATCTCATTTGGACCATTATGGCCGGCTCTGCTCCGCGGTCTGCCCTCGAGCCCAGCCAAACATGCGATGCACAAATGCGCATCCACGCCTCTCTGTCGCCAAATGGGCAACTTGGCCTCTCCTGCTCCAGTCGCTAATCTCGTGCAACACACTCTTCTACTTGCCCTACACTCGGATCGGGTTCGCTCTTGTCTTCGGCTGCGTCTCCCACGTCCTCGTAACGCTTTGCTGCAAATGCTTCCTACGCCTTTTTCGAAAACCGCCCATTTCTGTTTATAGCCTTATCCATGGGCTCTTGTGGGTTGGTATGTTGCCACGAACGCTGGATCCATTTGCCTACAGGCCGCGGTGATCATTTGTTGTTGAGATCTCAAAGGGTGGATTATTTTGCACTATTATTGCATGCGTGCTTTTTCGTATATACATATACATAAAAAAAAAAATTTAATATATAATAAATATAAATAAATTAAATATGTATATTTATACATACAGCACTTTTC